ATGAATTCCCGATGCCAATGAAATACGGACGGTATATGATGAAGACGGCAAATACGAAAATGATGAAAAACGGTGAATATAATTACAACGATGATGAACAAGATGAGAAACAGAACATGATGTCAATGAAAAATAAGAATGAAAGATGAAACGACAAATAAATCGAGAAAGACTAAAGCGAACAAAAAATAATGAAAAGAAAAATAAGATATGACGGTGTCCAACGAAGCAAACTTCAATGCACTACAATTACATATATAAAAACAGAAAGCAACTTAATGGCATTGACATTAAACCATCCTTAACTTACCTTCGCCAGTGTGAGCGGCAACAGCGCTCAGTTGGTGCGAAACAGATGGAGGGAAATTAGAGAAGCCATTCTGGTTCACTGCAGTAACGGTGACTTCATAAGTAGCGGAAACGTTCAAGTCGGTTAGCACGGCCCAGTTTTTCTCAGTTCGAAACTATAAATTAAAAGATAAACACATTCTGAACCTATTACGACAATTAGATATGTCATCTAATCAAAATGCACAGAAGTTTGATCAATCAAAAATTATAAAATGTTTTATAGCCTCAGCAATAGAACTGTGACAGATAAATTAAAAACGAAAATTTCGTTAAGAGAAATGGACAGGTAAACGGTTTCTTCTCTACGAGAACTATCACTAAAGTGTCTCAATTTATCAGTCAAAAAATCCAAGATCAACTATTAACATTAATTTCAAGATATGGCAAACCTGATCATATAATTTTGCGGAGGCTCGATTTTAGTCTAACATATGGGAACGACTGCTAGAAAACCAACAATATGAACTTAGTGACAGATTACAAGTTTGAAGAATCTTGCCTCTGGCGAAACATAATCATAAGAGAAAGTAGGATTCACAAACACAGCCACTGCTTTAACTAGCATTGATAATCTCTGAGATCTATTTGACGGTGACACAAGAAGATTCGATACAACAACAAGTCATAACACCAATAAACGTAACCAACACAAAGAAAACGTAATCATGATAACGAACAAGCTTGGATACTTTAAATTACGATCGAAGTTTAAAACCATTACGACCGCCGTTAAATCAAATATCTTACTGAAATTTGTGACTGACAGTACAAAATAATACCACTGGTAAAAATTTTACAGCAGACCTGCAGTACCCGAAGTTGCCTGTGCCAAGCCTTGATAACCATTCCTTTGCCGACAGAAAGCCCGGATGACAAAGCAGGAAGGTTTGGGAACCGTACAGACGCATCCGTAAAACCAATCCACATTCCTCTCATTAGCATTGCCGACATCGAACATTATACCAGCTAGGTCGTCGCCGGGTTACCAAGAACCGCAAAAGCTGTTGAAGGACTGAGACAGGCTGCGAAAAGTCGGCGATCAGAACCTGCACACCGCTTCTGGCAGTAGGAGAAG